GTGAGGCAGCTGTAAACCTTCACTTTTGTGGAAACAATCCCACACCCTTGTTCACCCCAAAGAGTTCTTTTCATCCAACTACACATAGATTTTTCCCCAAATTTCATAGGCTTATAAAATTTTGAAACTTACAGATCCTTTTGTCTAACTTTATAAGCTAAGTAAGCAGACAAGGACAATGCAGGAGAACAGTGGGAAAATCTGTCCAGAGTTCTTGACTCTTACTCCATACTTGCCTACAAGCAAACCACACTCCATCAGCATTAAGCTTCTCTAAAAGATCTGGTGATTTTAGGACTCCATATCTTGGCACTGGCAGTTCCTCTTGCCCAGAAGGACTGGCTCTTCTGTCATCAGGAACATGCCTGCTCTTCCTTCAAGACCCCAAAGATCACCTCATCTGGCCAGGTGCAATGGTTCACGCCTGTAATCCCAGAGTTTTGGGGAGGCAAACATAGGAGGATCACTTGAGCCCAGGAGTTTGGAGCTGCAGTGATGGGGCCACTGCATTCCAACCTGGGCAACAGAGCAGTATTCCATTTAAAAAAAAAAAAAATGCAGCCAGGCATGGTGGCTCACGCCTGTAATTCCAGCACTTTGGGAGGCTGAGGTTGGTGGATCACCTGAGGTCAGGAGTTTGAGACCAGTCTGGCCAACATGGCAAAACTCTGTCTCTACTAAAAAAAAAAAAAATACAAAATAAGCTGGGCATGGTGGTGGGTGCCTGTAATCCCAGCTGCTCAGGAGAATCACTTGAACCCAGGAGGTGGAGGTTGCAGTGAGCCGAGATTGAGTCATTGCACTCCAGCCTGGGTGACAGGAGCAAAACTCTATCTAGAAAAAAAAAAAAAAAAAAAAAGCTTTCCTAGCTAGTATCTTGTAACTCTGCATTCCCATAGAGTACGTAGTTGCCATTTCTACCATGGCACTTGGCATGGTGCATTATAATAATCTGTTCCATGGCTATTCACTAGCTCATGAGTGTTTCAGTTCTTTATTTGTATATAGCCATTGCCTAGCACAGTACTTGCCACGTAAATAGATAATTAATAACTGATGATTGAATGACTGGCCAGAACTTCCCTGTAGCTCCTCCTTGCCTCCAATAGATTGGTTACATATTCTCAAATTTCTTTCTTATCTAAATGAAAATCATTACCTGAAAAATCATTCAAGCCTCACATCTGCTGAAAAATAAACTAAATATTAACATGGTTTCTCATTTCCAAGCTTCTTTAATATGTTTGTTGAATAAATTATTCACTGCAACCTACTATTCATTAAATCAAGGCATATAAGGCCATTCAGACTTCACCTTTGAAAAATTTAATCACTGGTCTCAGACTCAGCATATTTAAAATAAAATAAAATTAGAGTTTAATTACTTTCACCTTTTTGTAAGAAGCTTGTTTGTCCTTTATTAACTAGATATAATTAGACTTCATAATAGGGATATTGCTTTTTGTTTTTTTTTTTTAATTGCATTTTAGGTTTTGGGGTATATGTGAAGAACATGCAAGATTGTTGCATAGGTACACACATGACAGTGTGATTTGCTGCCTTCCTCCCCTTCACCTGTATCTGGCATTTCTCCCCATGCTATCTCTCCTCAGCTCCCCACCCCCTGCTGTCCCTTCCCTGTTTCCCCCCAACAGACCCTAGTGTGTGATGCTCCCCTCCCTGTGTCCATGTGTTCTCATTGTTCAACACCCACCTATGAGTGAGAACATGTGGTGTTTGATTTTCTGTTCTTGTGTCAGTTTGCTGAGAATGATGGTTTCTAGGTTCATCCATGTCTCTGCAAAGGACACAAACTCATCGTTTTTGATGGCTGCATAATATTCCATGGTGTATATGTACCACATTTTCCCTATCCAGTCTATTATTGATGGGCATTTGGGTTGGTTCCAGGTCTTTGCTATTGTAAACAATGCTGCAGTGAACATTTGTGTGTGTGTGTCCTTATAGTAGAACGATTTATAATCCTTTGGATATATACCCAGTAATGGGATTGCTGGGTCAAATGGAATTTCTATTTTTAGGTCCTTGCGGAATCACCACACTGTCTTCCACAATGGTTGAACTAATTTACACTCCCACCAACAGTGTAAACATGTTCCTATTTCTCCACATCCTCTCCAGCATCTCTTCAGATTTTTTAATGATCACCATTCTAACTGGCATGAGATAGTATCTCAATGTAGTTTTGATTTGCATTTCTGTAATGACCAGTGATGATGAACATTTTTTCATGTTTGTTGGCCTCATGTATGTCTTCTTTTGTAAAGTGTCTGTTCATATCCTTTGCCCACTTTTGAATGGGCTTGTTGGTTTTTTTCTTGTAAATCTGTTGTAGTTCTTTGTAGATTCTGGATATCAGTCCTTTGTCAGATGGGTAGACTGCAAAAATTTTTTCCCATTCTGTTGGTTGCTGATTTACCCTAATGACTGTTTCTTTTTCTGTGCAGAAGCTGTGAAGTTTGATTAGGTTCCATTTGTCTATTTTGGCTTTTGTTGCCAATGCTTTCGGTGTTTTGGTCATGAAGTCCTTGCCTATGCCCATGCCCTGAATGGTTTTGCCTAGATTTTCTTCTAGGGTTTTTATGGTGTTAGGTCTTATGTTTAAGTCTTTAATCCATCGGGAGTTAATTTTGGTGTAAGGTGTCAGGAAGGGGTCCACTTTCTGCTTTCTGCACATGGCTAGCCAGTTTTCCCAACACCATTTATTAAACAGGGAATCCTTTCCCCATTGCTTGTTTTTGTCAGGTTTGTCAAAGATCAGATGGTTATAGATATGTTGTGTTGCCTCCAAGGCCTCTGTTCTGTTCCATTGCTCTATATCTCTGTTTTGGTACCAGTGCCATGCTGTTTTGATTATTGTAGCCTTGTAGTATAGTTTGAAGTCCAGTAATGTGAGGTGTCCTGCTTTGTTCTTTTTGCTTAGAATTGACTTGGCTATGCAGGCTCTCTTTTGGTTCCATATGAAGTTTAAGGTGATATTTTCCAGTTCTGTGAAGAAGATCATTGGTAGCTTGATGGGGATAGCATTGAATCTATAAATTACTTTGGCCAGTATGACCATTTTCACGATATTGATTCTTCCTAACCATAGGCATGGAATGTTTCTCCATCTGTTTGTGTCCTCTCATTTCTTTGAGCAGTGGTTTGTAGTTCTCCTTGAAGAGGTCCTTTATGTTCCTTGTTAGTTGTATTCCTAGGTATTTTATTCTCTTTGTAGCAATTGTGAATGGCAGCTCGTTCTTGATTTGGATCTCTTTAAATTGCTTTTTGTAATTCTCTTATCCACATGTTTGGCCTGGAGGAGTACTCCTTCACTTGTAAAATCTCCCATCAAGTATTTCAGGAAGTAGGAAGGATAGAGTCTAAGATTGTAAACACACACACACACACATCAAAGGTACTACTGAGTACAAGATGTCAAAAATTTAAAACTTAGCTTTAAAAAAATCATCTCTATTATTATTTTCCAATCCAGTGGTGAAATGGAAGTTGTTTGCCCTGGGAACTCTGACCGTATTGCTGACGAATCATTTCTGATGTGACATGAAGCCCCAGCACTGGGTTCCTGGGTGTTCTCTCCATTGCCACCGTTGGTTTTGTATGTTTCTTTCAAATGAGCCAAACTGGTGCATTTAACCCCTATGGAAAAGTCACTAACCTGTCAGAGAGGGGAATTCCTTATGAGTGTTGGACAGATCTTTTGGAAAAAAAAAATCGAAGCCTGCATAGAACTTGGGTATTAGCAAACTGTAAGCATGCACAGAGCCAAAAATAAATGTAGTATATTGGCAAAGGCTCAGGGCTTAGAAGTTAGTCTTTGAAACTTCTAATATAATGTTCAATCTTTCCCTGTAAACAGAAAATATTAATATTTACAATTCTTTATAGTACTAAGCAGTTGCTCCCTGGAGAAAAGTACAGAAATTCTAAGTGTTATTCTTATCTACTTTTTTTTCATTAAGCCAGTTGCTGTAACTGATTTTTAGATATACAGAAAAGAAGTCTTAAAATTTTACATTATGCTTTCCTATAAGACTTTGTCTAGAGTTAAAATCATGTCTCTTCATATATGGTGCTACCATATTCTTTTTCCTGAAACACAAAAAGATTCTAACATTTCTATATCTGTATCTCTGCACACAAGAATGTTTTGCTCTCTTTCTTTTTTTTGGAGATAGAGTCTCACTGTGTTGCCCAGGCTGGATTACAGTAGCACAGTCTCAGCTCACTGCAACCTCCACCTCCCAGGTTCAAGCAATTCTTCTTCCTCAGCCTTCTGAGTATCTGGGATTACAGGTGCGTGCCACCATGCCCAGCTAATTTTTGTATTTTTAGTAGAGATGGAGTTTCATCATGTTAGCCAGGCTGGTCTCAAACTCCTGACCTTGGGTAATCCGCCCGCCTCAGCCTCCCGAAGTGCTAAGATTACAGGCATGAGCCACCATGCCTGGCTTCCTTATTTTTTAAAATACATATGTATATATTATAAATAATATATAATACATATATATTAAACACACATATAAACATACATATATATTACATATGTGTTTAATATATATACATATACACACACATATATGTACAAACGTGAAAAAATAGAGCTCTATTAAAATTACATTTTATGTAAATTACCAGACAGATTTTATTGACCACTGTAGGTCTATGGAAATAATCATCTAATAATAATGTGCAAAATATATTGTCTAATTCCACATTCCAGTCATACCTACATATGCCATTTCCCCTGGAAATGAAAGGAGAGACATACTGGGAAAAGATATTCACACATGCATGTCCTGATTAGGGCAGGAAGTAACGGACAAATCTCTTGAGAATCTTTCTTGCAACCCTGCCAGGCCAGTTGAATGGATTCCAGATGTTTCTAGGCTTGTTATACATTTTGAATTGTTATCTGAAGCAGAACCCTGACACTAAAGAACTGTCTCCCCTTTGCTTCATTCCTCACATCCCCCCAGATTTGACTTGCTGAGACTTTATACCAGAGACTGAAAGAAGAAAAGCAAAACCTAAGCCCATCCATTACGCTGGCAAAACTTTTAATCAAAACACTCCCAACAGTTTCCTAGGTTTCTCCCTCAACCAGCAAAGAGAGGTAAAAGAGATCACTTTTCCAAAGCTTTCGAAATATAAATTCTAGTTTTCAAGTCTTATTCTGCTCAGAAGCCCATTCTTTGGGGAATGGTTGTTAATATTCACGCATTGATGTACTTTCTCCCCAGGACAGAACACGAAACGGGGACACCCCAGGAGAAGGAGCCATGTTCTGTGGAGTCCCCCTGGCTTCCCAGCCTCCAGCCTCTCCCCTCCCTCAACCCAACCTATCACAGTGTGCACAACAATGAAATATTTTCCATATTATCCAGGTAAGAGAAAGTCTTTTCTTTTCTTCTGTATTGCAAATAAAAGAGAAATTCCCTTTCCATGACATATTCTCTGGTGCATTTTTTTAAACTTTTATTTTAGGTCGAGGGCAACATGTGCAGGTTTCTATATATGTAACTCATGTCATGGGGGTTTGCCGTACAGATTATTTTGGCACCCAGGTACTAAGCATAGACCCTAATAGTTATATTTTTTTGTTCCTTTCCCTCCCCCCACCCTCCATCCTCAAGAAGGCCCCAGTGTCTGTTGTTCCCTTCTATGTGTCCATGAATTCTCATCATTTAGCTCCTACTGTTAAGTGAGAACATGTGGTATGTGGTTCTACAATGAAAGACAAACAGTCGCAGGTGAGGAAAACAATGCTGGGAAATTGAACTGCATTTGATAATTTGCATACGCCATTCCCCTTCCTCAGAGGCTGGCGACGCATGGTGACTGGATGTGACCTGAGCCTTCTCTTCCTTTGAAATGTTACCCCCTGCACTAGTGTGTCATCCCCATTACTGGAGTTGGTCCCTTAACCACATATAGAAACTAGTCTGGTGGCAGTGGTTCTGTCACAGGATGAGCTTCACATTCAGTCTAAGGGTTTGTTTTCACTCACTGATCTCCGTACACAGGGCCACTGAAAGTGCATCACGTAGCAGAGCTTTTCAGGAAATTTGTGTTCACAGGATGTTTAACTGTTAAGGAGAGTCGGCAATGATTACTTGAGTCCAGTTACATAGAAAATCGGTATGGTTATTTATCCATTACTCAGTTTTCTGAGGGGATGTCTTAAGGGAAAATAATTGCTTAATAAGATGAAAACTTGTATTATAGAAGAAAATACTTCACTTCATTAATAACATTGAATAGATAAAATATAGCGTTTCATGTTCAGAAATGGTCATTTTCTGATTATCCTGTGCTAATAACAAGTCCTCTATCCAGTCAGTCTTGGTGACGAGATAGTTATTTCTAGGAAGAATCAGTAGATTACAGTGGTATTTTTTTCCCCTAACCAATGACCCAGTGATTTCCCCAAAATCTAGATGTTTTTGTGTTTTTTGTTTTTTGTTTGTTTGTTTGGTTTTGGTTTTTTTTTTTTTTTCCTCTAGAAAGCTATTTAAAAAAATTAAGGAGCTGGGTGCGGTGGCTTATGCCTGTAATCCCAGCACCTTGGGAGGACAAGGTGGGCGGATCACAAGGTCAAGTGGTCAAGACCATCCTGGCCAACATGGTGAAACCCCATCTCTACTAAAAATACAAAAATTAGCCAGGGATAGGGGTGCACACCTGTAATCCCAGCTACGACCGAGGCTGAGACAGGAGAATCTCTTGAACTCGGGAGGTGGAGCTTGCAGTGAGCCAAGATCGCACCTCTGCACTCCAGCATGGCAACAGAGTGAGACTCCATCTCAAAAAACAAAGAAACAAAAAAATTAAGGAATTATTTTGGATCTCCTCCTATATTATGGTTCTGGTTACATGAAGCCATGCAAAAACACATTAGAGACCAGTTTATTCCATAAGTGAAGTATCTTACTTTCTAGACACGTCTAATAAAACCATCTAAACTCTGGAGTAGGAGAAACCTGGTTACCAGTAGAAGAATCAGCAGCAATCTGAAATAATATAAAAAATGAGTCTGAAAATAGGAAAGAAATCTCTCCCTGCATCTCAAAGTGGGTAAAACTACAAGCGCTTCTAGGCATTCCCTGTTTCAGAAGGCAGGGATAGAGGGGGAAAATGCGTGTAGATTCAAAAGGACATTCTAACAAAATATTCTAAGAAATGGGGCAGCAGTGTTTAAATCCCAATGGAAGGCCTACAGGCAAACCTGAAGTGATACTCGTTTAGTTTTGCTTTGGGTCTCAATTTTGTGAAATGTGTTGGACTCAAATGTGTTTGGGTCTCAAAATTGTGAAATGTGTTTGACTCAGACACAACAACATCCAAGTCACTAAAATTGAAAACAATTCAATAAAATCTGTTCCTGGAGATCTGAACCTGAGTAGCCCTCATGGAGCCTCATTGACTGTAGGTATCCAGAGGTGTTTGTTCTGTCCCACAGGGAGGAAGCCTGTGTGTCCTGAGGACATGTCCCTGGCACTTAGGTTGGACAAAACTGAACACTGTCTGTGGATAAATGTTTATCAGGTGGTGAGAAGTCAGGGAGGTGGGGAGGAAAAGCTGCAAAGAGGATCAATGGTTGGAAAGAAATGCAGCAGGTATAAGACAAAATATCAAAGGAGATTAGGTTCAGGGACCTTGTAAGATCTATAGAGTCATACTTTGAAATGAGCTGCAGTAGGACTGGAGCATAAGGAACAGAATCCAGGGAAGTGTGGAAACTAAGAGGAAACTGAGGGAGCCATAGGTTCTGTATTGACATAGCAGTGCAGGTAGGAGCAGTGGTCATTGACCTCCAGTAGTGACAGTCACAGTTGGGGTCTGTGTGTTTATTAAAAGTAGACTCCAGGTCCAAAGGTATTAGGAATTGGTAGAATGCCTTTTGGCCCAAGGGACTGAGGACCTATGGACTTTGCTTTTTTAGGTTGCACTATTAGATCACTAGAGTCCCAGGTCCTTGCTAATTTCTGTTCAGTGCCACCTGCAATTTTTTTTTGAGATGGTGTCTCATTTGTTGCCCAAGCTGGAGTGCAATGGCATGATCTCAACTCACTGCAACCTCTGCCTCTGGGTTCAAGCCTGCAACTTCTAATGAGGGTTGAAAAATCCACAAAGATTAGGGATGAAAAGAATGTGAAGTCATGTCTGTCAAAAAGATTGCTATTTAAAGACTTTGGATGTTGTGGTGGCTCACGCCTGTAATCCCAGGACTTTGGGAGGCAGAGGTGGGTGGATCACCTGAGGTCAGAAGTTTGAGACCAGCCTGGTCAACATGGTGAAACCCTGTCTCTACCAAAAATACAAAAAAATTAGCTGGGTGTGGTGGTGGGTGCCTGTAATCCCAGCTACTCGGGAGGCTGAGGCAGAACAATTGCTTGAATTCGGGAGGTGTATGTTGCAGCGAGCCTAGATTTGCTGTTGCGCTGCAGCCTGGGTGATAGAGTGAGACTCCATCTCTAAATAAATAAATAAAGGCTTTGGATCTAAGCACTTGGTGGTCCTCCAACTTTTATATGTATGAGAGTCACAGTGCTGGGAGTGGCAGGAGTGGTTTAAAATAGAACCAATCTAGAGATGCTGTTTCAACAGATCTGGGGTAAGAACCCAGGAATCCATGCATGTAACTAGAATTGTAGGCCGTTCTGATTGTACCAGCAGCTGACACACATGCAGCGTGGTACCAATAAGAAAAAGGTACCTCCAGTGCGTGCACCAATTTAAAAGCCCTTATTTCTCAGGTTCCCCCACGCTCTTGCCAGTGAGCATGTTTTGGCCATCGGGGCTGGTAAAATTTCAGCCCCTCTCATCCCTACTTGGCTGGGCAGAGTGCAACCTGCACAGCCTCCCTGGGTGGTCCTGATGCTGTAAAGGTGTTCCTTGAACCTACTTTAATTCATCCTAAACTGCCCTGATGATAAACAATGTCTCAGTAGCTTAATAAATGAGAGATCTGGCTGGACGCAGTGGCTTACACATGCAATTTCAGTACTTTGGGGAGCCGAGGTGGGAAGGTTGCTTGAGGCCAGGCGTTCAAGACCAGCTTGGGCAACATAGCAAGACTACATCTCTAAAAATAAAAATAAAAAATAAAAAATTTAGCCAGGTTTAGTGACAAACACCTCCAGTCCCAGCTACTCAGAAAGCTGAGGCGGGAAGATTGCTTGAGCCAGTGAGGCCAAGGCTGCAGTGCATTATGATTGTGCCACCGCACTCCAGCCTGGGTGATAGAGCTCGACTCCATCTCAGAAAGAGAGAGAGAGAGAAAGACAGAGAGAGAGAGAGAGGAGAGAGAGAGAGAAGAGAGAGGAGAGAGAGAGAAAGAAAGAGAGAGGGAGGGAGGGAGGGAAGGAAGGAAGAAGGAAGGAAGAAGGAAGAAGGAAGGAGGGAAGGAGGGAAGGAGGGAAGGAGGGAAGGAAGGAAGGAAGGAAGGAAGGAAGGAAGGAAGGAAGGAAGAAAGATAGATTCTGGGTACCACCTTAAGCCTATCAAATCCGACTCTTCAATGGCCCAAATTGGGAATTAGTATTTCTAACAAATGCCTCAGTCATTCTTGCCCTCGGAGTCGTTTGAGAGGCCCTGCAGTCTTTTTCCCTGGTGTGTTCTCTCTGCCTAAGGAAATTAGAGGCATCTTTCTACTTCAGATGTTATTGCTTCCCAGAATGGAATAGAAAGACATAATAATAAGGACAGAAAGACCAGACTTGAAAAATATTTATGAAGGTCAAAATGCAGTGGAAAAATATAATCCAAAATAAGCTACATGTGTTCATGGAAGAGGAAATTGGGAATATTTTCTTCTGGTTTTAGGCTTAAGCAGCTGTAATTGCTGGGTTTGCACCTACGGTGCGTCTTTCCACTTGCCATACTGTGCAAGCTGGTAGATGGAGTAAATTCAAACTGTTTCATGTCATCATACCTGCATATGTTGAACACTGTCAGTTGCTGTAAACTTATGTGTTAATAAACTTATTTATAAAATTAAAGAATAGGTGTCTCACTGTTTGCCTTTCATTTTATAAAAAAATACCAAAAAATGCTGCCCAGGAAAGAGCAAAAGTAAGTCTGAATAAAAATGTTAGAGGGCCTGGCACACTGGCTCACGCCTATAATCCCAACACTTTAGGAGGCCAAGGTAGATAGATTACCTGAGGTCAGGAGTTTGAGACCAGCCTGGCCAACATGATAAAACTCCATCTCTACCAAAAAATACAAAAATTAGCTAGACATGGTGATGTGTGCTTGTAGTCCCAGCTGCTGGGAGGCTAGGTGGGAGGATCGCTTGAACCCAGGAAGTGAAGGTTGCAGTGAGCCAAGATCAAGCCACTGCACTCCAGCCTGGGCGACAGAATGAGACCCTGCC